CAATAGGTTGTTGTATTATGTATCTTGACAGAGTATTATCTCGAAAGTAGAATGGCTCTGATATGCATATATTTAAGAAAAATTCCTTTATAGCAAATCTAATACCAATCTAATATGGAGTGCTAATATAAAATTTTGAATGATTTTTGGATTGCTGGCTGTATTGACAATACTTATTGGGATATAATATTGGTAGCGTTGTCATGAAGTGATTCTGTAACAAAAAAACTTTAATTACGAACTTTGAAATAAATGTTTTTGATTGATTACGCGATTAGTTACTAGACATAACTCGACGTTCGGTATCAAGGATGTTGAAACAGTACACTATTATAGAATATACTGTCTATTCATTTTGCTCGAGAATGGTATGATTCGAAACAATTGTTCTTCGATGTTTGTGTACAATTTCTTAAAGGATTATTTTGGATAAAAATCAATGCGCAGCGTATAATCTTTACTCTTGTAGGTTTTTTCTCATATGAGTTTTCTCTCATATCAGTTAATGACCGACAATTCTAAGTACTGATAAAGATCACTCTTCTGTTTATTATTCACTTCTACCATTATTTTAGCCACATGGTACTGAAAGCACTACTAGCGAGTGCATGAGATCGGTACTGTCATGGGCGGAGAAATGTGAAGAGCTTTGTTTACGTTTGAAAAACCGGATCTCGATTAGTGGAGACTTAATATTTACGCAAGATGTTTGTTTTTGCTTTCCGGTGATCTTTACTTATATTTTTTCCAAGAAATTTTCTGACTAAAATATTATAGAAAATTTTCAATATCCTTTATCCATTCAATGCTTTTCCTACGAATTATTAATTTGTTTCAGTTGCAAATTCAGTTGGCGAATTGGAACACTTCATTCAAAAATGTAGCTTTGATATTTGATAGAATATGCAGTGTTACAAGTATTCAGTTGAGCACTACTATAGGTCTTTTTTTGGTAGAATTTATTTAACATTTTTTGGTTTCTTCTTTATCCATGGCTTCTGAATTATTGAAGAATTCTTATAATAAAACTAGAAGAAGCTTTAACGTAGTTTACATCTGTAATTTAATGAAAGATTTTCTGCTTTTGTTTGAAAAATTTATCCTTTCTTGGCAGTGAGATGGGTAATCCTCAGATGCAGATTAAATTGAATTGAATAAATTAATTTTGTTCATTTTTGAAAGTGTTTTAGAAGCCGAGAGCTTGGAAGAAAATTGCATTCAAGAGGCTCTTTTATGTTCTGTGAAAAAAGTGCATGGCGCTTTAAATGGAGCTGAAGCTACAACAATTATAAGGTAGGTCTGCATATAAACGGAAAATAGGATTAAAGGTGAGATGAGCGTAAAAAGAACCGAATGTTGTGACTTTAATAATTTTTTTGCTTTTTATTCGGTGGGGATAAAATAGTGCTAATTATAGAAGCAGAACCTGTGAAATTGATTGATTGAAGATAAAAATTGACATATGGAAAGATGGCAACAAAATGCATAATAGAAGTACTATAAATAACGATAAAATGAAGAATATATGGATTTTAGACATGAAAGAATAAAATTCTGGAAATTAGAACAATAGTTAATTTTAAAATTTCAGCGAATATATGAGAGCTGTGCAAAATGTTATTATTGATTTGATCGACAAGTTTGATAATCAGAAACTGCTGAGCGATCCGGCAGATAAGGTTTGCTTATATCAATACTTGTTCTTTGCGTATTTTCAATATTAAGAAATTTATTGCTGATTTTTTTGATGTTAAGAAAATTAAATCTAGTAAATCAACATTTTGCTTAATTTGTAAATAGAAATATATTTTTTTTTACTTTCTTCAATGTTGATTTGATCAAAAGCATTGCCTACTTCATATTTTCCAGCGCTGGAATTGCAGATGACAGTAATTCTGGGAACATTTTCATCTTTCCTTGATTTTCTATTTTGCGACTTTCATCATTTTTTGTTTCTTTGTTTGTACTGCAATTTAAGGTCGCGAAGGACTTCAGTTCCGATTTTAGAATACAAATTTTGATTACTAAAGATGGATGCTAATTTGCTTTTATTTGTAACAAAATTTACTTTATAGTCTTTTCTATCTCCCCTTCTGGAACGAGCCAGTGCTCGGAGACAGGATGCTCTGGAAGCGGAAAAACTTCGTTGGAATTTGGAAAAAAAGGAAAATGAAATAATGGAATTGAAAGTGAATCTTCGAGCCAAGCTTGATGATATTTGCAATTATAAGGTATGTTCAGCCTTTTTAAAAGATTGCATTATTTTCATTTATTGGCACTCGTTATTTGCTAGAATGCTCGTGCTAATAAGATAGATATAATTGATTTAGTTGAATTTAACGAGATTTAAATTTAATTCATATACTCAGTATGATAATACACACTGTTTACTAATGAAGGGTTTTTCAGCTGAACGGTGTTTGTGTGTAACATTTTTTTAGGTACGTTTAGAAATGGCGGAAAATAAAATGGTATCAATGGAAAAAATTGATGAAACTGAAATGCGAAAATTATATTCGCAAAATGACGATTTACGCGACCAACTGAGGAAAGTAAAAATGTAAGTTTCCAGATTAAAACGATATTATTCTAAGAAAATCTAGGTAAACTAAATAGACCCACTAAATCGATAAAATTTTCCAATGGCTCTATTCATTGTTTCATAACTATGAACTTGACTTCTCTCCGTGACCATAATAATAAAACAATTTTCCGGTTCTTAAAATTGTTTTATTATGGTTACGGCGAGAAGTCAAGTTCATAGTTATGAAACAATGAATAGAGCCATTGCGATGTCCGCGTATAACGAATACGAATATCTGAAATACAGAAAAATAGGTTGTATATATCTCTTATATTTTTTTGGCACTAAGAAATACGTGATAGTGCCGTACGAAAATAAAGAGGGACTGGTAAGGCGATTTATCCTCCTTAAGACTGGAGCAGTAAAGTCGTAGTAGAAACATTTTACTAGCGAAGAGAAAAATTGCCTTTATACTTTTTGGTTTTAGGTGGTGATTACTTTTCCTTTGTCTTTTCGTTTTTATCGCCTTTCTTTTCCTTCTACATAAAATAGGCTTTATAATATTTAAAATAAATCTTAATATTTTTCTTTATGAAATATAAGAAGAGAATACTCTTTTCTTACTCATTTATTTTTACTTCTTGCAAATTATTTACTTGTTTTTTTGCAGAGAATACGAAAATACATTGGAAACTTTACAAAATGAAATTGATGTTTGTGAGAAAGAAAACTGCGAATTACGAAGCCGTGCCAAAACTATCAGTAAAAAAGCGTTATTGGGTGTATGAGTTATATTCACTAATTTTATTGAATTTTTTGGAAGAGTTTTTGTTCACTCTTTTTTCTCTTCTTTGTCTAGTTCATTTGTTAACTTCACCTCATACATATCACATGGACGGTTTTATTATACTTTAGCCATACTGTCATCAAAAAAGATTGGAAAATTAACTTCTTGCTTCAATGAGAAAGTTTTCTGTAATTAGTTCAATCCTTTGGATTATAATTTTATTTTATTCAGCTAAAGTATTTTTGGACATTTGGCTATCGACTCTGATAGAAATATGAGTAAAGTAACAGATCATTCTAATCGTTTTAGTTGATTTGTGGATGGTACTTGAATAAAAGGGAACAAAAATTTTGATATGGTGAAGTATGTATTTGGTGATAGGCAGTAGTAGTATTTAAAAATAAAGGCTTTTATAGGATTATAATAGAGCAGTTATAAATTTAACTTCTCTTTTTAGCAGCTACAAACTATGAACTTGACCATGAATCATTCCAAAATTCAAGCGACAGTTACACCGATCGATTCCAATCCGCCCACTCCTCAACAGTTTAACGAAGTGGCTTATCTGGAAGATGAATTGAAAGAAACAAAATTAGCATGGAAATGGGCTTGTCAATATATTCGACAGTTAAAGGTGTTGCGAAGCTCTCTTCCTTTTCCTTATAATTCATGTGCAGGTTATGAAATGTCAAACGAAATATTGAACAAGTTTACAGTGATTTCTAATGGTTTTTTAAAGTTCTTTTTTATTTGATTAAAATTTAAAAGGGAATCTAATTAAAATGTAGCACTCTCTTTTTTAATTTTTTTTAAATTTATTTGGATTAAAATTTAAAAGGGAATCTAATTAAAATGCAGCACAGACATCCAGCTATATCCGTGAAAAGAAATTGGTTACAACAGTTTTATTGAAATTATCTTATAAACTGAGATGGTGGAGATTTAGATAATTTTATCCTTGATTTATAATGTTGCAAATGTGGCTGAGATTATTGTATATTTTAAAATTTAATTTGATGGTTGACATTGTAATCTTTTGGCAAAATTGTTGCGTAATCGTTTCTTTTTCTTGTGGTTGAATCAACGGTAGATGGGAATCGATTGACAATTAGGATATTCGAGTATTTCTGATAGCAGTTTTAATTTTAAAGTCATACAATATTTATATCATTTTATTTAAACACTTGTTTTATAGTATGATGGAGAATGATCATATCTGCAATGCGGAGTTTATTTTACATTATATTTTTAGTTACGAGTTGGAGAGTCAGTAATTTTAACTGCAGATAAAAAAAGAGGAACCATTGGAATAACAACGATAAAGATTTGACTTCCTATAGCACTCAGGTTGCTCAATTAGAAATTTGATGCTTTAAGGCAAATGAAAGCATGCAGATATTGAATGTATTGGATCCAATAACGATCCCATCAGATATAAGTGGTCCGTTAACGCTGCTATCAGTGCAGGTTTCGAAAAAAGACGAATTGGATGAATTGTGCAGAAGAGCAGAAAATATTTTAGCGGTTAGGTTTATTAAAAATTAATTATTATTTAAAACAAAGCAATGAAAGATTCCAATAGTGGAAAGTCTAGTTGCCAAATGAATTTTTAGGATTCAAGATTCTATCAAATTCCATATGTTACTGATATATCACAGCCAAAATCAAAGCAGAATCTGGAGAAAAGAAAACATCTTGGAAATATTGCCCATATAAATCAACGGATTATTGATGTACGTGATCTAAATTCTGATTCTGATCATACTGGAAATCTGTTGAACTCTTCAAACTTTTTTCATAGCACCAAAAGTGCATAATTTATTTGTTCAACATAACTAATGCCAAATCTCCCAATCGTGTATTCATTTGATTTCATTGCTGTATTTACACCAAAGTTGATAGCAGTAATTGCAGTTTGTCATGTCAGCTTCCTTACTTCTTTCATTGGCTTAAGAAGTTAAATTTTTTTTTGAGATTGAAATTTTTTGAATTTGAAAATCATACAAATATAACTTTATATTTGTTTTGACATTATAACTTTATATCTCGTATGGTTTGCAGCTAAGAATTGACATACATCGATTCTGTAACAAATATTATCAGAGCGGAGAATGGCCTTTACTTTTTGAAAACATTAAAAGTGTTACGTCATATAATCGAAAGGTAGCGCGTTTTTAATTTATGAATGAATTTTTATGACTCCTTAGTATAAAATAGCACATAATTTCGGGGATGTTTGTTTCTGATAGTTTCAAGGATATCTTTTTCTAATTCAGTTAGAGTTTAGTGACTTTATTGGGTAATCCTTTTCTGGTAGGACTTCATAATAGCACTGTAAGAGCTTGACTTTTTACTTTAAATTTCTTGTTACAGAAGGAAGAAAGAACGATTGAAATTCAGCGGCTTAAAGGCGTGCATTCTGTAACTTACAAAAATGCGTTTGAATCACTTTTTGGTAATTTAACAATGGAACAAAAGAGAACCGAATCAACAGAAATTATTGTATCTGCTTAAAATTTGCTTTTAGCTTTATTTACTTATTAATTAATTAATTTATTTATTTATTATTTCTTCCTGTATACTTCTGTTTCCTATCTGCATGTTTTACACGCATGGTACATTAGGCTTCCAAGCTGACTTTTATTAGTATTTTATTTGTATTAGTATTTTATTTGTATTAACTATTCTGTTATCGAATTTTGATCTCTATTTCCAAGCGTGATTTTTTGTCCAAATACTAGATTACAATGAGAAGACAATTTACAAAAATTGGATTAATTCACTAGCACTTTTTCGATTACTTTAATATTTTGCAAGCTTTATAATCTTGCTCGCAAATTTCTGTTTTTGATTTTTTTTTAATTTATTCAAAATCCTGTTGTCATTTATGTTTGTGAAACTTTTACACATTCATCTACATTTGGTTGTCCGGGTTTTATACATTTTCAAAATTAATTTTTTCATAAAGTTTTTTTCATAATTTTCATATAAATTTTCTAGAAATTTTGAAAATCTTAGAATTTAAATTGCTGATGTCTACATTTGCTCCACTATTCCGGCTCTCTGAATTTCAGATTTCTGTACCATAAATTTCTGAAACGGATCACTGACTGTACACAACTTCTCATCTTTTTTTTTACCATTCCTTTATCATATGCTTTTTCAAATAGCTTACGCTAGCTTGCTTTCTTTTCGTGTATGGGTGCTTTTGGATCTCATCTTACTGCTATTGTGAATATTCGCATAATTTTGTAGTGAATCAAACTAGTCTGCCTAAATGGTTCAGCAGTTTCATACATTTACTCAAAAATAAATTAAAGTGATAAGCGAAGGATATTACTGATGGCAGAGATTACTGATTTACATACGAGATCATATTGTATGACAATATCGTATTACAACAAACATACGATGACTGATAATGCAATGAAAATATAGCTGAGAAAAGCTAGATTTTTGGACTAAGCTTTTCTACTCATTATGATGACCATGAAAGTATTGAAAGTGTGAGCGTTACTAAAAGTTGCAAAAAAGAGGTACATTTCTCCCTCGGCGATAAGTTTTATATTTACTTGATCAGTACCATATGCCATAATTTTTTATGATTTTGAATCGAAGACGTTGCTGATATGTGTCAATACATATCAGGAACGTCTTCGATTATCAAACGTAGCATTTTTCATACTATTTTCTATCGAACATAAACATTTTTCATATTATTTTCCTTATTAATGGGCTTTAATTAGGGTGTAACTTGTAATGAGCAATGGGTAATAATTACTTCGAACACGAGAAATCTAAACTATTAATCTTAAGTGTTGAGACTACTCATTGTTTTAAATAATTTCTGGATCTTAATGAGGTTATCAGCCGCATAATTTCCATTGTTAAATTTGCCCGGTTATTTAGATTTTTTTGTTTTCCATTGATATATTTCTGGAATGCTCAAAATGACATCAATGAGATGACATCAACCTTGAAGACCATATTTTTCTAACGAATTTTAACTTCAACTCCACATTTATTTTTTTCAGTCGCAAACTGATAATGAATTGAAGCATAATGAATAACAAATTAATGGATATTATTTTAGTAAAGCAAGCATGATAACTGATTATTGATATTATGGTTTTTCTTATGATTTAATCACAGTTTTACAATTTCATATTGTCCACCATTATGCACTGATATGTTCTTTGCTAGTAATACATATTTGAATATTAGCGCAGATATACATAATCCACATCGGAAAATATTTACTTGAGCTATCGAACTTGCAATATTTTAAAATGAATTTCATAGAATGCACAGATTTGAGCAAAGTAATAAAAAGCACTGCCAATTTTAATTCAAAGCTTTTAGAAAGATAAGTGAGAAGTTAGTCCGCAATTGGTTTTAAATCTGAACCATTCTAAAAGTTAGAATTTTCATCGGTTAAAGTCGTGAAAGAAAAACATGAAGTTTTCTTATCAACAAATTCGATTTATCCGGCAAAGATCAATAAAACTTGTTCAAATCAATTTCTATTCTAATGAATAGCTCTCCGTTAAAGAAAAATCTGAACATATAACCTGAGGATAAAAATGATTGGTTCACGCAACTTTATTAGGTAAAATTTCGAAAAGAGAAAGTTTGAAATTTTGACAAAATCTGTCAACCAAACTGAAAACCATGCTATAACAGACGTTCAGTTACTTATATATATATTCACGTAATCAGGCAAAAGCTAACGCGCGTAACGTCAATCCAATACGGTACGCAGGCCTAATCCTTAGTGGCGTCAAAATTAACGTTCGAGATTGAATTGGAAGCCGCACTAATTTAAAAATGAAAAGAATGAAAAGATACAGCTAAATAGCAAAATAATCTGATAGCAACAACATTAATAGCCAAGGAAACAATATAAGTAAGCAAATGAGTGAATAGACAAATAAATGAAATGCAAATTTATTGCCCGGCAAATAAGTAAATAATAAACGAAAATATTTATAACAATAAATAAACCAAGAATAAAAAAGACGCAAATCAAAATTTGTGAGGAAATTGTTGCAAAGCTATAAATTTGGTAAATTTCAAATTTCATAAGATACCCTTTGTAAGCTGTCTTCTGTAGCACTGCAATACAGTAGGTTCCTTCCTTCCAATTTACTTTCAAACAAATCAATTTTGGAAATTTTCAAGAGGTTTCTTTTTTTGACTTTTGAATCGCATATTTTCTCGGCTATTAATATTTGTTGCAGTTAAATTATTCTGCTATTTAGCTGCATCGTTTCGTCTTTTTCATTTTTAAATTAGCGCGGTTTCCGGCTAATTCATTTTTTGGGGTGCGGGAGAATGTTTCGAACGTTAACTTTGCTGCCACTAAAGGTTAGGCTTGCGTGTTGCATTGACGTTACGCGTGTTGCATTTTACTTGATTGCTTGAATTTATAGTAGCGAATTCCTGTTATAAATTTCCCTTTAGTTGCAACGCACAATTTTCAAATTGGTTGATAGATTTTGTCAAAATTTCAAATTTTATTTTGTACCAACAAACCGCTATCATACTTTTGTTGTTTTTTTCTTTTTCACCATTGCCACATAGATATCATACACTAATGCAAAAAAATTAATAATTTAAATACGTCATTTACAAACGTGGACGCGTAATATTATACCATGTGATCTCATTTCAAGCTATCATCAACAAGTGCGATTTGATTATCTTTGTTCTTTTGCAGTATTTGCTTCATTGTAGCCACTGATATATTTACGTTTATTGTTCACGTACATACCATACGTTCATCATATGTTCAGGCATTCATGTTTAACTGATCCTATCCACTTATTTTTAATGTTCTATGTTTACGCTGCAACGGTACCATCCATTTCTTGATATTTTGTAGTTTTTGCCGCTAATACATTCAGATATTTATATATTTAATGTTAACATGGGGACGTTTGGCATGTTCACATTTTGCATGCTTCCATCTATTTGCATGTGGATGCCTCCCTTAGTTTACATATTGGCGCGCAGTGTTTATGCTTTATTCCAGACTTTACATGGCTAAGATTGCCGAAGTTGACGTACAACGTCGAAAAATTTTGCATTAAGTTGAAAGAAGTGGCATATATAGCCATTGCTCCGGTAGCACTTGTCAAATAAAAAGGGTAAGATTTCAAAATTTAATTTTTACAAACTAGTATTTGAAATGTCAAGTTATTGTAGTTCCCCACCATTAATTATGATTATGCTGATTTATAACTGAGAGGATATAAATCAGCTAATAGTTTGAGAATGTTGCACATTGTCTGAAAGTGTGTTATGTTGTGTTAAATTTCGTTGCATCAGAAATCTGTATTTTTCCATTTTACGATTTATGCTTAATAAAGGTGTTATTTTAACGGTGACCTTCTCTTGCGCGATCGTTATTGATACTTTTCAATAGATTATGATGATAGCAAGTTTTCTGCAGATAAATTAATTTGTAGAAGCGATAACGATGTCTGATAGTAATAGACGACAAAAAGAATTACAGAAGCAACAACGGCAGCAGACAATTGCTCATGAAGAAATTGTTCAGGAAGAGATAGTTACTGATGAATTGGCCAATGATACACAGGGAGTAATGAATTTAGCTCTTTCTTTAGATAGTAGTAGAGGAGCATTTGATAATAGCATTTCTAAGAAATTTAACTAATTTCATAGTGATAATAATTTGACTGAAGTGATATATTGGATGATATATTGGGTTAAACAGCTTGAACGAAGCAGAATTATTTTGAAGAACATCTCCAATCATAAGAAGTAAATTTTAGAGGATCGAATTAACTTATTAGGTTACTAATAATTTAATTCGATCCTCTAAAATCTGTTGCGTTAATAAATTTCTGAATTAAGCCAATAAGTTGCGGGAAATAATGTAAATTAAATTGAGCTTGAATAACGAATTGGATTGTTCAGTAGGTTTCGAAAATTGATCTGAGCTAGATATATATTTTAAAGAATAATTTTACCGTTAACTAAAGTTTGAATAATAGCAGAAGTTGAAAACTTTTGAAATTTATGCGTAAATTTTAGAGAACGACTTAAAATGAACCTGTTAAGTTTTCAATAATCGCCCGAATGAAATAAATGGAACACAATACATTCTGGAATTTCTATATATCTTGTCAGGATTGATGCTTGGATTGTTTAACAATTTTCCACAAACATTCAAAACCTTTTATTCACGTTATTGTAATTCAGATTTCTGAAGAAATTATGGAAGAAGTTGACGTTGAAGGCGAAGTGGAGGGTGATGTGGAATATCGATTACAAGGTATTTATAACCATTTGCGAATATTTCCTTAATTAATCGTGTAAAAGAAATAATTATCATTCAAATACTGATTTAATCAGCAAGTATGTTGTCGGCTTTGTCATGATTTTATTGCTAAACTAATTAGTATACGCTCTAACAAGCAGTTTTCAGCTGACGGCTCCTATAGAGTGATTTGTCCGTCACGTAATAGTATTCCGTCGGGAAGTAGACATTCACATTCACCTTATGACGATTCGCAGCATGGGGGAGTACGTTTTGAATCATTGAATTCTGTATGTTACAGAGTAAATATAAAATAAATTAAATGACATGTAGTTTTCATTTGCGATGTCTTATAAAGGAATTATGGTGAAATTTTACAATATTAGTTTCAGAATTGTGCATAGAATTTATGTTAGTTTTCGTAGTATTATTTGCCTTTTCGATGTCGAAATTTACAGTAAAAATGTAAATTCGAAAATTGAGATTCAGGATGTGTATGTTTTCGTTCATTAGGTAAAGTTGTATCATACTGGGTAAACATTAATTTTTTCTAAGGACATTTTTTCCTTCAAAATTTCAGGTAAATGTCGGGGAATCAGGCGATAGCCAGTTGAGTGGTTCCGAAGCAGGACAGATTCAGACAGGACGTGTCGTTCCGGCACATGTTTTTGCGGTTCGAGGAAATAGGGTAGAACACTTCAGATCTTTACTAAATTGTTTACCAAAAAACGTACCATTTGCGTAATATTAATCTATAGTCAAACTTAATAGAAATGTCCTGCTACAAATACATCCCTGATTAATTTGGACAGCGTACTATTCGTCTTTTTTTACCTTTATAGCGTATAGTTCCAGGTCCATAACATTATCCGTAAATTTCAAATTATGTTTGAATCCTAATTACAATGAATTAAGAGGACGCCAAGGTGTGAAGAACCATTAAATTAAAACATCTATCAGAATAGCACTGAAAGCCTCTTACATTCATTGAAAAGAGTGTCTTTTTGTCCCCTTGTCAAAGGAACTGTGCTGCTCTTTGATTAGTTCAATTTTATTCTAAAGCTTAATATTTTATTCAAATGATTTTTTCTTTCAGATATATCGTATTGATCGCTCAGGTGGTTCAACTACCACCACACCAGTGCGGACACTTAGTGAGACGAATCGTGGAGCAATGGATCAGAACGTAAGTTTTGTGATTTTGATGGCTTTATCTAAGGATTTCCTGGAAATAAATACTAAAAAATTATTTTATAAGATTAGAATTTATGAAATTCATTTTCAGAGGAAAATTCTTATACTTTTAACATTAATTCCTGACTGGTTTTTTAGTGGATATGCCAAGAAACAGCCACATGTGCAGCTGGCATGTATTTTCAGAAAACAGAATCAAATTGGCGAAAACGTGAAGTGTCATCGAAATCAAAACCTCTGAAAACTGGGCCTCTTAGTCCACCCCTAGCTTATCGGGCTGCTCAGGCTAATGTTCAACGTAACAGGGTATTCACTCCAATGTTGGCAGCTAAATTAGCTCCAAAGAAGTGATTCTTTCATATTCCATTTTATTGCTAATAATAACTTGTAATTGCTGTACTCCATGGTTCTTGGTTTTGAATGGTTTCTCCTTTAAATTATTGAATTTTTTAAGTATATAAGTTTATCTATTAATGATACCAACTACCGGCAAATAGAAAAATAATCGAGGGAATTAAGTTCCATTTTACTTAAATTATCTTAGTAATTTTTTTTTCAATTAGGATATTAAGAAGATCTAAGTTGGTATAAATCGAGATAGCAAAATAACATTAATAGGCATTGTCTTTATTTTTATATTTATTTAAGCGCTTTTTAAGATCATATAACAATTCCTCTTTTGTTTTTTTCCAGGCGACCTCTTGGTTCGAAAAAACCATGCCATTGCACACGTTCAATGTGTTTGAAATTATATTGTGATTGTTTTGCAAATGGAGAATTTTGTAATGATTGTGATTGCAAAGACTGCAAAAATACAATTGAATATGAAATTGAAAGGACGCGCGCTATTAGATTGTCACTTGAGCGCAATCCGAATGCATTCAAGCCAAAAATCGGTAAATTCTGGTAATTAATAATAACTGATTATTAATCACCAATTCAGATGCAGATTTACGCCATGGTTTGATTGCTGACATCATAAATTACTTTCAAGATAGCAAATGTAGAACGTGCCCTATGGAATGACACAGCCGAATAGATTTAATAAAGTAACAATCAAATTCAGTAGTGACTAATAAAATGGAGTCTGTATGGTGTTTTTATTTTTCTTTTCGACGAATTAAGCTCAATCTTGACAAAATTTGTTTCTTAACCTACATAATATCTTATTCAGGTGTTGCTACTAACAGACAAGTGGAACCAGAGCGATTGCACCAAAAAGGATGTCACTGCAAGAAATCGAATTGTTTGAAGAATTATTGCGAATGTTATGAGGTAAGTTTATATCGAAGTCATATTTAGGTTCTTTTGTTAAAAAGCTATTTGAATGAAATTGAGTTTTTGAGTTTTTCATTTTTGGAAATTAATATATCCAGAGGAAACAATGACTTTTTTATCAGGCTTTCAAATTCTTTATGCAGATTTTCGTTATGAATACTAGGAATAACTTATGAACGCTGCAAAAAATTATGATATATTCTATCATTCTGTATTTACCCATATTGAACATTGTTGATGAACTATAGAACTATATGCTCCTTTTTCTAATAAAAATGATCTTGAGAATAAACAACTTTAGGCAAAAGTGCCCTGCACTGATCGATGCAAATGTATTTGTTGTCGAAACACCGAATCGGATCGGGCAGCACGTTTGGCAAATACGAAATCAGCTTCAGCATTGACTGATGTTCGTTCTGCTGCCACTTTGGGCAGTGCAGATTTTCATAAGGCGACGTTGTACAGCGATGAGGATAGCGATGATGAAGTCCAAGAACCGAGTGATCCTAAAACGTAAGTGTATGTTGACTGATCAATGAAGTTAATCTGTGGTATTTGGTTGTTTTTGCTCCAAGATCCAATGTCAAAAGAAAATATATTATGCAAATCATGAAAACATATGAAGCCAGAAGTTTAGTTTCTATTTTAAATTTTATAAGAGAAATTTAATCAGACAGATTTAGAAACGAGAAACGATATATTGTAGAATTTTTTCCCATTTCTACATATTTACCAAAGATCTTTTATAATAATACTTTTCTCGATTATAGGTTACCTTGGTTTTATATGACGGATGAAGTAGTGGAAGCAGCAACGCTATGTCTGGTAGCACAAGCAGAAGAAATTGAATCTAGCGGGAAGGCAACTCAAGTAGAAATAGAAAAAGCAATTTTGAAGGAATTTGGTCGCTGTTTGGGACAAGTTATTGAAAGTGCTTTGAAAAATTCGAAGAAAACCATCGAAAGCTAACGGTCTATATTGATTTTTGGTGTACTTCTGAAATATTAGAGACATTTTTTTATGTACATTAATTTCATCTTGTCTATATTACGTTTTTATTTAATCATGACCATCTTTTAAGCTCTTATCATGTTTTTCTATTTTGAAACAAGCTTGTTACAGATATATTGATGTATTTATTACAGTAAAATGCAGTGTTTCCATACCAGGAAAATGTCGAAAATAATGATTTGCTTTTTTTCTTTTTTATTTTCTGATCGGCATTGCTTGATTACTCTTTGATAAAGGAATGACTGGTTTGAGACCATACCTTATTTATTAAGCCGCAGAAATAAAAATCTGATCTCGCTAATGATAAGAAGTAGGTCCTTAATGATGACGTTTCTGACCAGCATGGCATTTAAATAAAGTTTGATGTGTTCAGCACTTTGTGGATTGGATAGTATTTATTGCATGGAGCAGTGCCAATAGCGGTGTTTATTTGCATTCTTTTGATTTTGAAAATTTTGTTATTTTGATAAGTTTAATTTTTTTTTAATTTCCTTTCCTTATGTAACGCCGTTATCCTTTGCTCAATGACCTTTGGACTCATCAAAATGTAGAAAAAATATTTTGGTGAAATCCAATTTTTTGTATTTTTTCGCACTTAATGATTTTGTTTTTCATATGAGCATCAAATTATCTGAGACAGTCGAATGGTCATTTTCTGGATTGTGGAAGATTCGAATTTCTTTTTATCCTATACATTTTGTGTATTTAATTTATCACTCGCAAAACAGCTGTTGGAAATTTACCATAGATTAATTACCATAGACGGTTGTCATTACCTAGGGATATTATTATATCATTTGAATGTAACCAAACCATTTTTTTTTTAAATTAGAAACTATTATGCTAATTTAATGCAATGAAAATATTCGTGATAAAGATGTGACTATTATTATTACCCTATCACTTTCTGTTCATAGCGATATCCTTAACAGCAGAACACGATGATAAACTTCTCGCTCTTGAATTGTTTCTTTGTGCATATTGCCGATAATTTGATTGTGGTAGTAGTCGTTTTGATGATTATTGCTCATCCGTATCCGCCGGATGACATATCTTTGACAATATGCATCAGTTAATGATGGTGTGAGTAAGCATTCATATTCGACGATTTGTCAATATTATCTATGTTTAAATCCCCATCATAACAGATCATTTTATTTTCTAAACATTGTACTTGAATTGAAATACGTGTGAATGACATATACACCCTTCCGCTTTTTCAATCAACAACAGATGAATTGACAGTTTTTTTTTTTCGTGAATGTAGATCGAATTTCCGTTGTGTGTATGCAATAAATGCAAGCAATTGAGTTATTAAAGTTCTCTGCATTTAAAATCCGGATTTCAGTTTTTCTCCATCTATGTGCATGCATGCTACCTATTATTATATATATATATATATACTGTTACGCTGTTTCGAGCAATCACAACCAAAAATGCCCTGGAGGATGAGGGAATTGAACCCTCGACCTCTCGCATGCAAAGCGAGCGCTCTACCACTGAGCTAATCCCCCTTGTAAAGAAATGATTGCTTGAGCACTAAAATTGGATGTTAAAAGTATTTATTCTGAGAATTTAAAAAAATCACGTCTATTCGATTAAAATCTAAAATGTGCTAATTTCAATACTTTTCAATTTTAATTTGCTTCACTTTTTAATGATTTTCCTAGAATTTTTTGCCTTCTCTTTTTTTTAAGGATTCAAGTTTGTTTCATATTTGCTTCATTTTATTTTTCATTTCTGTTTAAATGATGAGTATGGTTGAGAAATAAAAGATCAATTCTTTAAGAAGTGCGACATTTCCATATTATGCAATTCACATCTGTTCCTATTTTCATTAGATTTATCAGTCTCGCACAATATCTTTCATCCGTTTTTGTACAGCTTTTATACAACAATCAATTGAATGTATTGTATAAGATAAAAGCTTTTTTACTTTGTAGATTTCCAAAATCTTATGTAAATAATTTTCCAAAAGTTATAAATGGATAAATGATATTAGCGTGGGAGCGTTTTAAAATTCCTGCAAAATCCGAAGTATTTGAAATGTTCTTTAAAAGAAAAAAAGAATGAAATTGAGAAAATATATTTATAGCATTGCTCGTCCAAAATTACTCCTTCCAATAATGAATTGTAAATAAGTCAAATAATTCACGAATTATTACGGAGAGTTTGATATAATTTAGTTATTTAAAAATGAAAAAAAAAAAGTAAAAAGGGAAAAAACTGGCATAATCAATTATTATTAATATATTTTACAATAGCATAGCGTTTTTTTTTTTTTTGAAAAATAACAGGTTACTGCTAATCATTGAATCCACTTTTTCCACTTTTTTTTTCCTTTCTCTTTTCAAAAATTTCCTTTCCCTACCTCTTCCACTCTCTCCCTCCCTCTCTCTTTCTTTCAAACTCGAATAGCTATATAAAAGAGGTAATCCGAAATATGCATCTTTTATTGAGCAGACAATCAAAATATTTCAATTAAAATAACCGTACACTGTTGTTGTTGTTGTTGTTGTTATTGTTGTTATTGATGACAACCACAATCCAACCTTTCTCGCACCACCTCAAAATTGCTTAATTAATGTAAATTGTTTATATAAATGAGTAATTAAATTTATTTCATCAATTTATATTAATAATTTCGAGAAATTTTTTTATTTTGTCCAATTGCTTGTAATTTTTTTTTTTTAAATTCTTGTTCTCATTGAAGTAAAATGAAATACTTCTTTCCTCATTCATGTGTCAATAATATATTTTTGAATATTTGATAACAGCAATAATATGATGTGATATGATAAATACATAAAATATTACGGTATTTTTCTGACCTATCTTTCTGTTCTCAATGCTTTAAATGGAAATGAATGATATAATTTATATTCAAATATATTCAATTCAAAGAAATTTTCATCTGATATCGTTTATAATGGTTTTTCGGGAAAATTATAGTGTTATCGTATCAGTATCGCAGCGTAGATGTTGATGAGGAGATATGCGTAATTAATAAAGATATGTTCAATTAATGTGCCTAATTAATAATCGACATATGACATCATCTTATGATACCCATTTCAAAATAATGTTCCACTTTCGATGCGCTACTACTTGCCAACATTGGATAAGAAACTTGGAAAGTTGTTTGCATGGTATACAAGTAATTATCTTGTTGATTATTATCCTATATTTATTGCCTTTCCAATTTTATTTACGGGTATTCTCGGAATTGGTTTCGTTTGGATTAATGAACTTACCTTACTCAATACTCAAAAATTATATACGCCAACATCAGCACCAGCCTGGAAGGAAGAAAGAATTATGCGAGAAGTTAGTTAAAAATTGACAAAAAAAATGATCAAAATTTTATACTTTATTAGGAAAAATTAGCTAATTTAGCATATAATATGGTAAAAATGGAAAAAGCATTACTGTAAAGGACTCAATATTAAATAGTAACTATAATCATTCGAAAAGTCCAATAAAAGTTAATCGTCGAATAAAATTCATGATGATAGCGTAATAGTCTAAAATTTTGTAGACAAATATTTATAAATTCATTACCTAATATTCTCTATTTAGCTTTTTAAAAAAAAAAAAAAATTTAAAGACAAATTTTGATATATGAATAAGACAAAAATTTCCAGTTATGGCCTATACGTATCAATGAATTTTTGCCTGAAAGAACATTTGAATGGAATCGCTATTTATACGTAATTGTACATGGGCGCAAATATCCCAATGGTACATTTCCAAATATTCTCAGTGATTCATATTTGAATGAAATTGAATTGTTGGAAAGAAGTATTGCGGAAAATGTTTCATGCGAAATGAAGGATGAATGGCTTAACAATGCTACGACAAAATTTGGTAGTAAATTTTATTTTCAGGTATTTATCGAATATTTGTTATGCAAAAAAAAAAAATTTTTTTTCGTTTATTAAATGAATTTTTTGAAATTTATCATTTTTGAAATTCATATGAGTGTTATCTGATTTAACTAACATGTTTAAACTAAGAATGCTGAAATTTTCAAGGATTTATGTTTGAATTGGTACGGAAAATGTTATCGTCAAACAAGTTTGATCAAATTGCTTCAAAATCGTTACGAATTGGAAAAGCATGGCATTAGCATTACTTATCCTCGTGCTAATACTAATGGAACACCG